GGAGAACGTGAGCAACTCGGACGCGCTCCTAATTTTTGACGCTAAAGCACGCTTCGGAACCTTCCTCGTGCGTGCACTGGAGTAGAAATATGTAAAGTCTCTCCCTCTTCTTGCCGTAAGCAGGGCCTTCGCTTCTTCTTCGATCCTTGTACACGACTACAAAGGGGAAGCCGCAGAGATCGCTTTCGACACAACGAATGGGGAAGCGCGGCTGGATGGAAGGATCGGCCTCGACTGGTCATGCGATCGGAAGTAGGATCAGCGGGGGTGCTTCGTATCCTCGACGATCTTCCTCCTGTCGTATGGGCATGCTTTTATCGGTGGAGGGTAGAAGGGGTCTGGCATGGGCAATGGAGCTGGTCGATCCCAAGTCGCACGCGTGGATCAGTTCGATTTTCCTCAAGTCGCACACAGGCGCAGTCAAGCGTCAACTTTTCCCTTTCTGATTAGTGAGAGACTTCTTCTCGGCTCCTTCGCTAGGCTATTCGACTAGGTCTTCGGCCTCCTTCTGATCGGAAGGTTCCGATCGGAAGTTTCGATCCGAGTCGCACCTTCCCGTCCGGGTCTGCAGCTTCCGATGAGTTTCGGGTGCCCAAGGGCTTCTACTTCTCTCTTTCTCCTCCGACGATCTAGGATCGTTGTTCTCCGACGGCAATTAAGGCGTTGGCTTGATACCACCAGTTAAAACGAAGAATTTGAGAAGCGAAAAGCTTGAAATTATTGCATTACAACTCCCATATTAGATTATACAGAGACATCCATAATGAGGAAATAATAAATTGCCATAATTAATACATTAAATATATTACATAAAATCTTTTCCTAATACGTTTGCCCCATTATGGCGTAATCCATGAGAGTATCCCACGGATTGATCTTTTGTGTCCGTCGGATCCTTTTGCACTAGGAAAGGCTGGATTCGATAGCTGGATTCAGACATAAATAAAGATGTCAAACTCTTCCTCTAATAAAAGCATTTCTTTAACCTACTCCTACACACTCAACTTAAATATCAATGACTTTTTTACATTACCAAAATCTATACAACATCGTTAGCCTAATATAATTACCTTTAAACTTACATGAATTTTTTTTTATTTTTTATTTTTAATTTCTTTTATTATTTTAGTTATTATTTTTTAAATTGTCATAGGCTTTAAGCTTTACATTGATATTATAACTCTTATCAACATTAAAATCCCAAATCAGTTCTCCATTTTAACTATTCAAAAACTAACTCTAAAAATTTATATGATAACTATCTCTATTCTTCTTTGCATTACTAGATCCAAGATATTTAAACTATCATCGCCCAAAGGAAAGAAGTCAAGTCACTTCCTTAAATTAATACCAAATCATAATTGATAGCATTCATGGCCACCAAAATCATAATTGTAAAGACCTGCTGATGGGGACATCAGATTACGGACAATGGTACCTTCCATGAAGATTGCCAGGAGATCGACGGCCACGATCAATTCTTTATTTTTCATCATTTTCTTGTATATTTAATTTTATTTTATGTTTTTTCTCGTTTTTGCCCTTATGGGATTTCGGTAGCTATTTATTTCAAAGGGTATTTTAGTCTTTTGTTTTTTATGTCCATATGTGAGGCTATTTTATAATGACGCCCTTCTCTTGTAATAGGGATTATTGATGAAGAAATGAAATTATTTTATGTAATCTCATTGTGAGTTAAGAAGATCTCTTAGTGAGTTCTTCACATGAGATCTCTTTGTGAGTTCTCTTAGTATTAGCATCCATTGATCTTTCGTCCTCGTCCCACAAACGCCACCATCCACATTCAAAAAGTGGGAAGAAGCCGGCCTCCTCCAACTTGCCGTCACCTTGGAGCCACCCAGTCGGCGACACACAATCTCCCGCCGGCCAAACCACTTCTCTCACCCTCCACACCACCTCTCTCCCCTAACCTTATGTAATTGATTTCAAAATTCAAATTATTTCAAATTTGGATGTTCCATTTAGAAAGTTTTAGGAATTTCGATTAATTCCATTCAATGGAAATTTGGGTTCATGATAAGAATTCTTTTCCTAATCATCATCCCAATTTGGAATCTCATCCTCATTTCCAAAACTCTCCCCACTTTTTTGATTGCTGCGCCCCCTTCATTGGGCCTCTCCCGATTATTGCACAATTACTCCACTCCCTATTTTTGAAATTCAAACTTTATTTCAAAATATTCCCTCCTTTCTCATTAAAACTGAAATTTTTTCAGTTTTCCAGAACCTAGCACCTCATAATGCCAAAGCCGGCCCCCTATTGGCTCTCCCCATTGATGAGAATAACTTCCCCTCTTTATTTGGGATTATCAAATTTAAAATTCCAAATTTTTCTCTAAATCCTTTGAAACGAATCAATTTCAGTTTCTCAGAACCCAATCCCCTCCTCTCCCTGATCCACCGCCGGCCCCTTCCTCTCTCCAAACCGGCCCCCTCTCTTCTCTCTTGGTTCAGTGAGGGGACTGCTCGTCTTTCAAGTTCATGTGCATGGCGGATCCCGCCGTTGACTACGGAATTTCGAACTCAGACACCTACGGCCACATTCACGTCCTTAGATCGCCTTTCTTTTGACGTGGTTTTGGATTCGAATCAATACCGTCGAGATTACTGTGGCATCGGATCTTACTCTACACTTAGTGGACGCCTTTCATCTTGAATTTGAATGAGAAGTTTGAGATCTCTTGGTGTTCTTGGGCTCTAGGGTTTG